CAAAATATTTATGTTTTGTAGCAATAACACTCAACAAAATATTTATGAGTCTTTTTAATTTGAAGCCTTCCCAGACATCTTGGCTAATTTATATCAATTTCTTTCTAATTAAACATCTTTTCTAACAATTAGAAATTTGTCTTTATATGGAAACTAATGTTCTTTCTAATTTCTGTGTGCTTTATCTACTAAGTTATCAGGTTCTCCACAATGTAGCTATGAGGATTTACTTGATCTGGTAAAAATTAAATAGTACAATGTACCCCTCGACAGATGTGGAACAAATTATCACTATGTCTGAAAGCAACTGCACAGCCAGACAAATGTGTAAATAAGCCTCTTATTTAAAAAGAAAGACCGTAAACGCATGTTCTTATGCTAATAAAGTCAATTACAGCTCGCGTTGATGTAATTAAAAAGAGTGAAATTCAAACTAAAATTGTGGACTAGTGGTCAAAGACTATACAGTTTAATTTTAATTTAAGCTGGCTCAGTAATTCTATCATCATGACAAATTCAAATATCTACAATGATAATGCAAAGACAAATTATTAGAGCTGGCAGGAACTAATGCAGTGAGCAAGCGGAAGTCAGAAATATATTCCGTCTTTATACTCCAAAAATCTCATTTTTAAAAATCATTTAAGTGCCTTCTGGTGAGGAAACTGAAATGGGAAATTATAGTAAAAGCTGGAATTATAAACAACTCGGTAATTTACATAATAAAAATTGCACATATGTTTGAAGAATAATTTTCTTTCTCTTTACATAATCGATTTCTTTCTTCCAACAAGTTTCTATTTCATTTTAGAATTTTTGGATTTAATTAGATTTCTGTAATCTAAAAAAAAAAAAAAAAAAAAAAAGAGAAGAAGAGAGAGAGAATGTATAGAAAATGCTGCTAATTTTATTTCTTTAATAATATGAACATTCAGAAGAAATATGATATATATACGATAAGGGCCGGTTACAGGGCTGATGCAACAGAATTTTTAGAATTTAGTGACATACTGAGCAACAAAATTTGGAAATGGCAAAACATTTACAATTTAGAACAGGCATTGGAAACAGAATTTAGAGGCACTAGGCAGCAGAATTTAGGATCCACAAAGATTGCATCAGGTGAGAAAATGTCTAGCGTCATGTTCTTTGTATGACGCATTAAGACATATTAGATGAATCTTTTGAATTGTCAGTTTTCAATTTATTTATTAACACTTTACCGACCACTCAGCCACAGATTCTTCATGTTCTAAATAATTGTCAGAACAATCTGATAAATCGTCTAAATAAAACTCTCCAGTACCATTTTTTTCGCTTATCGTGAACGGTAATTTTTTTTAAAAAACGGTGTGAAAATGTGGGAGTTTATGAAGCAACACACTTAACGAAAGTGAGCAATGTACCTCAATACTAATAATAAAATACAGATAATATAGCAAATGGCAATTGTTTATTGCCATGGCTACTGTTTGATAGGCTATTTTTAGGTAGCCCCGAGAAAAAAGCGATAAATAGGATATCGGTCGATAGGCATTGGCGAAAAAAGACGATTAATAAGCTATCGGTCGGCAGGCGTTGCCTAACAAAAGCCAATTAATAGGCGATTGGTCGGTAGCCGTTGGTGATGAAAAGCCGATTAGTAGCCTATCGGTCGGTAGGTGTTGCCGATAATTACCGGCCGGTAATGTGTTAATGAAAAAATTCCTTTCTATAATACCTACCCATGTGACAAGATTAGAAGCATTTTTGATACTTTCCATGAAAGAAAATTTAAATTCTCTTGCAGCTATAACATAACAAAGAGATTATTAAACTTGTCAAATTGACTGAATTGAAAATAACTGACCATGACACTAATTCATTACTGCTGACTCAGCAGCATATATTCTTTCATTAGGTTAGATAATGAATGAAAATGAGTGATATCTTGAACTATTATAGCACTAAAATTATTTAAAACTAACAAAAATTAATGACTGATACAAGAATTTCAAACTGATTATTTAAAAGAAAGACCACACATGATACTAGTTAATATGTCATACCTTACGAGTGTGTTGTTTAGCTTCTGTATAATTTTCTTTATCGTTCTGAAAATGAGAAAAAATTTATAAGAATGAAAAACTGAATACAATAATATGGAAATAAAGCCCTCAAACTGCAGTTAAAAATACATTATTTTAAGGAAGAAAATTTTATAAAGAACTAACACTAAGCAAGCATAACATTTTAAATATTGATATAATTAGAAATTAATTAAAATAAGCACCCCAAATTGGAGTTAAAATACATTATTTTAAGGAAGAAAATTTGAAAAAGAACTAACATTAAACAATAATTTAAAAAATTTTAAATATTGATTTACTTAGAAGTTAATTAAAATAGAAATACGTACCTTCCGAGAATTTCTACTTGACTTCTTATTTTCTTCCTAAATTTTAAGAACAATAAATTATATTTAAAAACTTGCAATGATATTCAAATAGAACAAATTTCAATCATGTCATGTGACGTTTTAAATAAATATGTCACAAAATTATTAAAAATATTAGAGAATTAAAAAGAATCATATATAGATGAAACACTAAAATATTAAAAAGACAATAAAACTTATAATAATGCACAGAGGTACCTCAGTATAAGTTATTAATCCATTCCAGACCCTTGGAAATATCAGATGAACTTATTGCCAATTAGAAATAAAGGAAAAACAATAAATCTGTTCTTATAATAAGTCCTACTGTTATTATGACATTGCTTAATATTAAAATACAGACACAGTGGGTGAAATATATACAGTACATAAATGAGGCCATGCACATGATACTATAAATAAGTATTTTTCAACTATCAAGATAAAACGCAATTTTTTAACATGTTTTGATGTCTCTAATCTTTGTTTGATAACTGATTTTATCCCCTTCACAATGATAGCCGATTAAATAGCAATTTTGATTCCCATGTTCGGAGACACCAGTGTGTTCGGCATATGGTACATAATAACTTAGTTGTTTAGTGAATACTAGCAAAAGACATCGTGGCACACACATAGCAGTGTTTTGAAAGAGGAGAACAAGTGCAGCACATGCACACGGGACTCATTGAACACAAGTTGTATTCTAAACAAATGTTTCGCACAAAACAAAAATTTTCACATACAAATAGGACATGTATATATTAAATGGTATGAGAAATATTTTTTATTAATTACAACAATGACAAAAATATAAAAAAATATGAGTTAGCTACATTATAAATTGTACGAAATAAACGCAATATAAATTTTATCAATTAAAAGGCATTAAAATATTACAAAAAGATATTAATCATTAAGAATCAGTTACTTAGTTATGCTATGAATAATTTTATTTTGAAATTAAGTTAAATATTTTATATGAGCTTGAATTCAACATTGTAGACAACTAACAATTTGTCAGGCCTAGTAGATGATGCATTAAGGATCTCATGCCTTGTGGAATAGAATCAGATGACAGGCTATACAGATGACCAACGCTCTAGAACAGTGATGGCGAACCGCTGGCCCGCAGAGCCTCATCAGCCGGCACATGACCAAAATATTACTTCCTTAACCAATAATCACAATAAAATGATACTATGTAATTTAAATAAGTGTTTTAGTATGTTCTTGAGCATTTCACTTACTTATCGCATAACGCCACTGGCATAGGGCCTAAGCCTAGATATAAGATCTTCATATATCACCATAGAACTGGTATATATATTTATTGACCCAATTTATATTTCAATTGTTTGAATCATCATTACTTTTACTGGAAAGATACACCAAAGTTGAAGCAGTTGTTTGCTAACAATTCATTTTATTGCGACTGCCAGCAGGTTTTAATATCTTAGTTGTTAAATAGATTCCAGTTTTCAGATCTAAGCATTTTGAGGTAACTTATGAATAATTCTAATTTAATATCTTATCGGCAAACGAGACTTGTGAATGGTGAGTTAAAATGACAATCCAATGTAGAAGCTTTTGTTGCCAAACTAGCAACGTTGTTTAAATAATTCTTGTCAATTGGTTAGTACGAGTTTTGTATCAAACAAGAGATTAGTAGTATTATTTCATATTTTTCTTATTTAAAAAGTGCATTATATACTTTTTTGAATTGTTTATAATGTGTTATATTATTATATTTCAAGTTGATATAACAGTTGTGCATTACATATTATTATTGTTTTATTGATGAATGCTTATGAGAAAACAGAATAAGTATATTTAGAGTTTGAGAACAAAGGTATTATCTAAAAGAGTTAACAAGTAAGTCTCGCCAAAATTTATATATTTTTTAATACAACTTTTAAGATTCAATTTTAAAAGAAAGCCTTTTAAAGGTAATTTGTTTAACATGTCATTCTTAGATAGGAGCACAAACCAGGATGATTTAAAAGTACTGGCAGAACAGTTAGGTTTAACCATGAGACCTGAATTTATGATTACTTAATTACATAAATTGATTACTGAAAGTCCCAATTATGATGAGGTATTTACTCGAGAATTACTGGCTGCAATTAGAAAAGAGAGAGGGGGGAAGAGAACATGAAAGACAAGAAAGAGCGAAAAAAAGGAAAAACACCAAATAGAAGCTTTGAAAGAAGACAGCAAATTAGAGCCTTTGAGCTGCAGAAACTTGAACTAGAAGCATTGACTGCAAGAGCATAGCCGATATAAACTATGCAGTTACCCGAGCAGCATTTGAGAATAAGAATTCACTATATCATACCATGTTTTAATTCCACAGAAGATGAAATAAATTTATTTCTGGTGTAATTTGAATGTCAAGTTGAAATTGGGAATATACCTTCTGAAAATCAAGAGACTCAACTTATTTTATTGCTGCCTCCTGATATTGTTCAGCTTATTGCTAGAGAACCAGAAGAGGACACAAAAAATATGAATATATAATAACTTTACTGTTACAAAGAGTTTTAAATTGAGTGCGGAAAAACTGACAACTATTTAATAAACACCAAAAAATCTTCTGAAAGTACTTGGTATGATTTTTACTATGATTTAAAGAATTATTTAGAAGGATGGATTGAATATTAAAGCTTTTGAACAACTAACAGATATCCACTGATTAATCAAATTAAAAAGTGTACTTCTGTTGATTTCAAAGAGCATTTTATGAATCAATGAACTACCATCACTTCACCTACTAAGATGATTAAGAAAATTGAAGATTTTAAAGACATGAGAAAAGCATTAAAACCAAAATTTTCTGCAATAAAACTGAGAGAATAAACAAAGGATCACTTAAACCTTATTACAAAAATTTTGAGAAAAATACAGCATCTGCCTCATTTTAAGCATTTTGTTAAACGGAATGATTGAGGATACCAAAAAGATCACAGACAAAGAGAAAATATCCTACAATGAAATCAGTACCTTAAGAGCCAAGAAAATTTATATGATGAAAGATATCGACCATGTTGTTTCAAGTGTGGAACATACGAACATTTTAAGCCTCAATGCCCTTGCTTAAAATCAAATAAAAAATAAATTGTGTATCTTCGAATGATGATTTGTTAGAGACATATACAATTAATAGTTTAGTTAATGGGTATGAAATGCCAATTTTTTGAGACACTAGAGCCACAATAGACGTTACGTCTCGAAAATACTTCGATAATGCAAAAATGACAGGAGAACATGTCTAGGTACAATATTTTTTAAATGACCATTTAGTGTGCCTACCAACAGTGAAAGTTGAAATTAATTGTTAACTTGGTCATATAAAGATAAAGGCAGCTGTTGTTACAAATGATCCCAGCAGATATGTATTGGGTAACAAAACTGCTCAATTGTTCAAAGATGCTTTAATTTAGAAAAGTTAAGTGCAGTTTTGACACGATCTCAAGTAAAAAGTAAGCAGATCGAAGTAGAGACACCAAAATGGAGAAACTATAAGAACTGTCATTTAATTGAGTCTGATGAAGATATTTTACAGCAAGCTGATGAGAAAGATATGGATATTAAGAAAGTAATTAATGTAAGTATGTTAATTCTAAGGAATTCATTGAATCTCAGCATCAAAGCAGAGATCTAGCCTCGTTGCATAGCGATCTAATAAGTCTGGAATCTAGCATCTCTAGTAAGCCTGGGAAAATGCATGATATTCAACTGGCAGAAAACACACCGATCCACTGTAAACCATACAGAATTTCTCCTAGACAAACAGATGTATTAAAAACAGAAATTTATAAAATGCTTCAATATAAAATAATTGAAATATAAGATTCAGATTACACTTCTCCTATGATTTCAGTGGAAGTAGCAGGGAGGGACCCAAGACCTTGTATCGATTATAGAAAATTGAATAAGTTGACAGACACAATTCTTTCCCGTGCCTAATATCAAACAATGAGTGGACACTGTAGCAGCTGCAAAATATATAATTCTTTTTGGATTTAAAAAAGGGATACTGGCAAATACCTTAACACCTACTGCCCAAAGATAAGCCAATTTCGTTAAAAGTTTTGGCCCATTTAGATCTCTATGGATGCCTTTCGGACTTAAAAATGCACCATTAAGCAAAATGATCGCTGGAATTCTTCATGGTTATGAACACTTTGCTGTTCTATATTTAAGGCAATTTTTTCAAACACATGGGAAGAGCATCTAAGTCAATCTGAATACCGTTTTAACAAAAAATAAAGGACATTGGTTAAACTATTAACCATATAAAGTGTAAATCTGTTCAAGATAAAGTAAAGTATCTATGACATATTGTAGGTCATGGTATAAGAATGCTCCCCGAAGACAAAGTAAAAGCTATTCCTGATTTTCCCGTGCCATTCACAAAAAGTCGAGGAAGAGCACTTTTAGGATTAGCAAGATATTATAATCATTACATTCCCATGTTCTCCTCAAAAGCAGCAGCTTTAATCGAAACTATGAAAGGAAACCTAAAGAAAGGGAAAATAAATTGGACAGAAGAGTGCACAAAAGCATTTGAAGAGATAAAGGAAAAAATGTCACGAAAGCCTATACTATATGCCAAATTTCAATAAGGAGTTTATTTTGCAAACTGATGCTTCAAACTCTGGCATTGGTGTTATTTAGCTCAGAAAGTTGATCGAGAGAATCAACATCCAGTAAGCAATTTACAGAAACTGAAAAAAGGCACTCCATCACATGCCATAATATTTGCTGTAAAGAAATTGCAATGTTATTCAAATAGGAATACTAAACTCTCATCATGACCGACCATAATCCATTAGTTTGTCTAAAAAATAACGCGAGTCTAAATCCGCGACTTACGAGATTGGCACTGGTATTACAACCCTATAATTACACTGTTACTCATCAAAGTGGTAAAAACCATAAAAATGTAGACGCATTAAGTACTCCTAATTAAAGAACTTTTTGTTTTTCTACTTAGATAGAAAATTATTTTGATC